TCGTCGGGCGATGAACCTCCGTTTTTTTTTCGGCTAATTAATTGCATTTGCTCGTCGTGCACGAAACCCGAAACCCGTTGGCCCATCCAGGGCGCGCTATGAATTAAGCTTAATTCAATTTTTGATAGAGCGAATTAAGCTCGATTCTGTCCTTAATGAGATAAATCGAGCGCTCGGCGTTTCGAACGAACAGCCAGACTTGGCCCTGATTTTTCCTGCCTTTGTGCCGGCAAAACGCTGATCAAATCAGGACACGCTGTGCAATTAACAGTGACGCGTGACTTCCAATTCTTCCCAGATATTCTCTCTCTCTGTTCCTCGATTTGTTTTCTTTTTTCTTTCTCTGCCTCTCGCCTCTTCTTCATCGGGCCACGCGTTTTAAACGCGCCTTTGTCCCGGCAATATTTACGATCGCGCGACACGGCTCGCGAATCGCAAAGGTACACAACGACACACTCTTTTTGATAAAGGACGTTTGCACGCAACGTTGGCCAATGATATATTTGTCTGCGCCGCGAGTTAACGATATTTAGAGAAGCAGCTTGCATTTAAGCTTGAATTTATTAGCTCGTTTTACAGCCAGCCGATGTAAATCTTGCCCGTTAACGGTGGGCAAGCTGGTTATCGAGCTTGACATCGACTTAGCTCTCCATTCGAAAATAGTCGTCGCGTTCAATCCGCGTCGTTCGAAGTCTACATTTTTTCGAGAGTTACAACAGGTGACGGGGATAAGTCGAAATCGACACGTCTGAAGAAGTTTGTAATATATTTGCGGACCCTCAGCGAATTAATGTCGTCGCTTAATCGAACGTCGTTTAAAGTCTACTTGTACGTTCTATGAAACAGTTACGCTGGATAAGATGAAAGTTCCAAAGTCTGGAAAAATTTATCAGCAAAGTAAAACCAAGGTGGAATTTCGATAGCGATAGCTAGAAATCTGTGAATATTCAGTAAAACTTCGCGGTCTTGTTTATAGCGCACAATCACAGATGAAAAGCACGTTACAATGAATAAGTGAGTAGGGAAAGCAAAACAACTATTTTACCCCTTTAAAATAAGCTTCTGATAGTGTAAATATTGCAAGTAAATTGCAAGTAAATTGAAGAATTAACACGTTCGTTATTAATTTTATTACCGAGTGCAAAAGGCGTGATACGCAAATACTGCACGGATCGTTTATAATCTTGTTTACACGTATCTGTATTATTACTTATTAATTATGCAGAACGTTCGAGCATTATCCCAGATAAACACGCTGATACGGAATAACAATTAGGTTTTTCTTTTTCCATTTATATTATTATTTTATTTTCGCTTCGTTAACGTCATTTTCATTTTCACGGATGTTACGCAGCTTGAGTACCCACCGTACAGATTCAATTTTCGCAGATATTTGATTCGAAGTGCCTCAAGTTTTCATTAAAAAAAAAAAAAAAAAAAAAAAA